AATGTGCAGTCTTCGTTTTGCAGGCTCTATGCAAACATGACTTTAACGCTATTATACACCTGACCTTCCATAATAAACAGCTTCTCAATCATCAGTTTAGGGATTAGGGTTCAAGTCTAAGTCCAAGTCTGGCATCTAAAGCCCTGGAAGTTGAAAGTAGCACTAGGTGGCAGTTTGGAATGTTTTCTTGTGTTTGCCACTCCTATGTTATTATGAAGGCATCTATTCAGAAGTTGCAGTTGGAAACATGACTTCAATGTAGACACTGGAAATGAAAATTCTCAGTATAAGGCATAAGGACCACCAAATGACTACTTGTACGTTCCTGCGATGCCCGAACCGCTACCAAAAAAGCTCAGCCCCAAGCCCGAGACCGGAAATCCTTTCTTTCGGTGACCTAAACTACATATACGATTCGAAAATAAGTACTGGCTGTTAGGGAAGCCTGTAAGGCCTAACTCACCTGTCCGAGGCACTTATTGAGCTGCCTGGGCGCGCAGAGGAGGATGGACCGCCGGGGTTGCGAAAGGACTTCACAGGGGGTTCTGAAGGCTTTCCTTTGGTTCCCTAGCTCCCTTGGGCTCCGGCTAGTTAAATAATGGTTTACTGGGTACACAATACATGGTTAGCAACCTGCTATTTAGGCAGTTGGAGCCTTAGGGGATGGAATTGAATCAGGGTATCCTAAATATTTGTAGGGGTTTTGGACTTGTCAGAATGTGCTTCGGGGATTCGAGACTCTTGGATTCCGGGGTTTTTGGGTAACCATGGTCAAGTAGTCGTGGCTTTGGGTGTTTTAGCTTTGAGGGTCTACCGGTGTTGGGGTTTACGGGTTGACATGCCATCGCAGGAGCTGCTGCGACCACGTAGGATGGAACGAGACGTGATGTCCCCTTTAAGCCCGAACCCTTAATCCTAAAACCTGAACGCCAAGCCTGTCAACCCCTAACCTAGCAATGATTAGCATAAGATCCCCTTGCAGTCCTTACACAAGTTTTGCAAAATACACCCCGAAGCCCTATTCTAATTATGTAAGATCCGCATAGGGCGCTCGGCAAGAACCGTCCTTGAGAAGCCTGAACATACAGTCTTGGGGCTATACAGACCCTAGAAAAATCCACAACAGTCTTGGGGCTATATAGAAACTTTCAAGATCTCCACATAGTCTTGGGGCTTTTCAGAACCCTATAAAAATCCGACAGGCCCCACCACACAAATCGCAAAGCCAACATTCTGATGGCTCTTTGAGCGTTCTGCCCTAAACCCTAAACCTTGAACCCTTGTATCACGCCGACTTCCCACCATGGATCCTCGCCTGGCATGTCCGAGTTGGGAGAACGTAAACCCTAAACCGTGGCATGGACACTTATTGGCATGCCTGCATTTGCGAGTGTGTGAGTCGAAACCGTGGCATCTGCGAGGCGCTCGAGGCGGCCAGGGCGGCGGCGAATCTGGAGCCCCAGGACCAGGGGTCTGGACCTCTTTGGGGGGTTCAATATTGGCCTTCGTCTTGGTACTACGTATGACCAAGTATGATTTTCTGTGTATGAATGTATGCTTATGAGTGCATAGCAAAAAAAAAACATTGAAGTTGAGGGACTGGTGGTGGGCGTTGGCGAATCATACGTTAGAAGGCCTTACAGTAACCCGTCGACAGCCCATATCGAGTTGTTGCGAACTGCAAACCCTACTCTAGAATAGAAGGATGGAATCCGCCCCGAAGCTCAAACCCTAAACCCCAGCCGCTAGGCACGAAAATGAAGAAGCAGACCGGAGGATACCGGTCTTGCACTGTAAACCCATTGTAAACCCTCCACCTCCAGTAACCCTCAACCTTGAACTCCAATTTCCAACCTTTTTAGCATCTTGAAACTTGGAAACTCTACGACCCTCTACGAGGGTAAGCCTACATAGGGGCTTCCGCTCCCCTGTTTTGTGAAGGTGACAGTTATGCAGGGTTTAGGGTATTTTGGTATGACAGAGTTCAGACCCCCCGGTTTGAGTTGGGACCCTAGGCAAAGTCTGTTGGAACCATCGACAGGACACCAAAGTTGCAGAGCTGTCCCTGAGCAGATTTTATTTCCGGCCGGTGGGTACATGCGTTTGTGTGTATGTGTGTATGTGTGTATGTATGTATGTATGTATGTATGTATGTATGCATGTATGTATGTATGTATGTATGTATGTATGTATGTACATATGTATTTATGTATGTCTACATGTGTATATATAAATACATGTATGCATCTATATATATGCTGTATATCTGTTGTATACATACATACATACATACATACATACATACATACATACATACATACATACATGTATCTGTATATATATATATATATACATATATGTGTGTGTGTGCACACATGGATTCATGGGTATATGTGTTTATTTATATATGCACCTATGTGTTATTTGACAAGCCACCAGCGAAAACGAAAAACAACACTTTCCCGAAACCTCCAAGCCTCAAGCCTTTAGGCCGGACACCCTCCAAAGTTTAGGTCGTACTTAGGGGTTTAGGGGCTTAGTGGGTTGTGCAAAGATAACTATGGTACCACTGATGAATACATCGCTCCACAGTGATAAGGGGCCCCTTCGCGGTACAGGCTTTCATATCCACAGGGTCTTTATTACGATTTGTCTCGATGACGGGCTTGCTGTTTGTGTCTCAGACGGAGGGTCTATGCATGAGTGAGGAAAAAGGCGTTAGGGTTTAGCTTCAGTGTCTAGGACTACTTCGCCACTTTGGGTTGTAGGCAGGAATTTGGAGACTGACTCTGCAGACTCATTCGGAGATTGACTCTGCAGACTCATTTGGAAAGCGTTTCGCCCAACCGAGACCCAGCCCACCCTTCTACATGAGCTCAGGTTTGCAAACTTAATCGTTTCCGACTTGAGGTTAATGGTTTTGGGTTCGAAGTCGTGATCCTGATTGCATAGAGCCCAGACCACAACACCGAGTCTTGCATCAGCATATTGGAGGTTCAGAAAGAAGGGACCCTAAACACTGGAAAGAGACACCCTGCATTATAATATATAGGTAGTTATAGGCCCCAGACACCTTGCACCCTCGTTCCGTCGACCCCATTCCTTTCCCTCAACCCTTTGTGCATCTGCGCTGCAACTCTATCGCTTGTAGCGATAAACAGACGGACCATCAGAGCCACAGAATTATGAAGTTGCTTTCCGCGTCGAGGTTGCAGAAGGCGCAGGAGCTCTGCGGCAAGAGCAAGAATGACTCTCCTGAGCCAGCAAGTGGCATGGATTCCATGGACTGAGGTGCCTACTGCGGCAGACTAGGTTAAGTTAATTAGGGTTTAGGAGTTAGATAGAGCGTCACAAAGCAAGTGCTCACCACGTCCATCTGTCAATTCCAACCTGAATCTGAACCGTAAGAGAAAGCGCACATGCCCCGTGCAACCAGAACATTGTACTCCTTCAACATGCATAGGTAAAATCTTTTCTTGTGGGCTGAGGCCCGCTTACCAACAAGAAGGGTGCTTCGGGTTTGCAGTATGCGGTTCGAGGATTTGGGTTTAGTCTTTGGGCCATGCCTACGCACACGTAGAACCCTAATATGACAGGTCGTTATGTAGTTATATATAGGCCACAAAGATTCTGGGGTAAGGCACAAGGCCCTCCAGCCTGCGTGCACGCCGATGAATTCATCCGGAAAAGGCACGAAGCAAACCTGGCATTGGGCCCATAGAATTTAACAGCTTAGGGTTGGTATGATACTATACGATACCATGCTATACTTGTAGTATATAACGAGGACAAGAAATCTTCGGATTTGATGATGTCCTTTCGCTGCTATTTCGAGTGTCTTGCTTCGGTCCAACCTTGCCAGCACGAAAACTTCAGGATTGAATGCCAACCGATGTGGGGCTCCTGGGCTCTTTCGGCTTAGGTTCCAAAACCTGGAGGGTTTATATAGGGTTCAGGATATAGGGTTTATTTAGGGTTTATTCAGGGTTTAGTGTTTTGGGGTCGAAATGCATCTTTTTCAAGTTCCTTGGGGCATCAGTATCTTCACAAGTCTGTCTTGCGCATGGACCCATTCTTTGGCACTGGGCAGATTCGGTCGGTTCAGTGTCCGGGTTGAAGGGAACGCAACAAGAGTTACGACAGGCTTATTATAAGCATGTTCTGCGTTTACTTGAGGTTTCTATAAAGCTACGGGTTAGACTATGGGAGTGCATTCTTCCAGGGTCCAGGTGTTCATGTGCGGGCTTGTTGGTCTCCTCGGACCTTAGCTGGTCTAGGTTTAGGGTTTAGGGTTTTGGTTGAGGGGTTTTGGGGGAAGGGCTTTTGGGGTTTTTAGGTGTTTGGGGTTGGTTCTGCAGCGGATGCCTATAATTAGTGTGCTTTCGAAGCCTATAGGGGCCTTGGGTTTTGGGCGTCGAGGGTTTAAGTCCCGCACTTAGGGGGGGAATCAGCCACTTAGCCCTGAATCTTGAGCTGTTATCTCTCAGCTCGAGATAGGTCCTTGACTTATGCAGTTTCGTAATCGCTCTCGGCTTACTGATCCCAACCCCGGCCTTGTCACGGATCAAGCTTGGCGAAGCTGCAGAACTGCAGAACCATGACCTGGGGAGTACCCATATAGGCCCCATAGTAGTTCCTTTTTGGGGCTCATATTTAGAATCCTATAAGGTAATCCCAAAAAGGAACTACTATGGGGCCTATGGGTATTTGGACCACAGCAGTTTGGTCAAGCGCGCAAGAGACATGGCCTACCTTGCCATGAGGGAGGAGTTTCAGAAAAGTCATCGACTCTTTGATAGACCCGAAGTGCCAGAATGCTTAATTTACTTGGCAATAGTTCCCTAATTTCACGACTGCAGCAGTTTAAGCCTTGACACTGGCAAGACCCTCCAACACCCGACAGACGGACCCAGAATATGTGCACAAATATATGAGACCCTAGTCCAATCTCACAAGCCCTGACACCCCGACCCCGTGAACCCACGTAAGACAGCCCTCATATGCTGCGGTCCGCTGTTCGTGGTCACTACCGTCGCCGAGCGCCTGCTGCAGGTCAGTTGGGCATGGGGGAGGGGGGAGGGAGCTCTGCGTGGGATCGGGGTATCCAAGATTCTCCAGGGCTTTCTTCTGAATTTCGTCAGAGCCAAAAAATGTTCATCCCGTCTTCATTTTGAGAACGTTTGCGCGGGTGGAAGGGAGATGGAAGGGGTTACAGCGTTTCGAGGTTGGAACTCAGAGGGTCTAGGAGGAAGAGTTTAGAGGCTTGTTTAGTTAAGAGTCAGGGTCTGGTGCCTCAAACGCACCTGTCTCCCTCACAGCTTATCACACTAATTCGGTGGGTATGTCTTGCCTCGCCATCAGAGCTGAGCAGTTCTCTTCGGTGTCGTCCGAGCCTTCGAGTAAACCCGGATAGGCAAAGCACAAATGTCGGGACTAGCCGATATTTCAGGACTCCACTGTACCCTTGCAAACAGAGCCCGCAGTAGTGGCCTGAATGGTTGGTCCACACTATCCTCCAGATCCTGCCGCCCGGAGCGCCAAGCCCCGAAACAGATCCTGAACGATTCGCACATGCATAGGATCCCAGCAGCCGGAGGCAGGCTGCTTGGAGACTTGCGAAAGCTTCCTAATTTTCTTCAAGGGATCTGTCAGACTACTGTTCGGATTGTAACAGTTCTTCAATGTTTGGTTGTTCGTTTTTTTGGTTTGCCGGGGGTGTAGGCGTTTACTGTACGTTTTTGCTTGCAGGCTGTCGGGCTCAGAATGGGTTTCATAGAATGAATCCTGTTCAGGCAACGCCAAACCCTCGCTATGTATGAAGAGTTATACTGCACGAACCGGTTCAATCCCAACCCCGAATATGGTGACTTGACATTCCGGTAAGCTTGAAATACTTGAACGCAAAATCTCGGCTCCTGGGGTGCCGAATTTGTGTCGGGGCTGAGTGAATTCCAGCTCTCGGGCTGTTGTTTTCGACCTGCACGTGAATAGACGTCCCTTGGTTAAGCCTTGGCGGATCGATTTATAGTTATTATTCTCTAAGCCCTCATTTCATAACCAAGGCCCCTGTCAAAAGCACTTGCAGAGTGGGGTCTTGTCGATGTTCCTTGCTTGGGATTAATGAGGAGTTGGGTTATTAAGCCGTTAAGGTTTTACCAATTCAGGTACATGTTGGTTTCTCATATGTTCAGTATCTTCGCTACATGGTTCTTCGCTTGGGGTCCGATAGTTTTCCGAAGATCCCACAACGGAGCTAGTTTACACTGGCCTGCAAACCCCGACAACTCTCTCACATAGCGCTTGGTGCTTGAGGCTGTAGTTCCATTGGATGCTTCTTTCTCATGCAGCCTAAACCCATTTGGCCAGGGAACTCAGCATCTCGGCAATGGTGGAACCACGCATGCTCACAGGCTCTAGGACCCTGAAGAAATAGTAATAGTGCCGAATGGATCTTTCTTGTAGTCCCTATGGAGGTCCCTAAGCTGAATGTAGCCCATGCTTGATTGCTAAGGGGGGCGTGGCGTTCAGGCTTTCGTGTCGCACAAGGTGCTAGATTAGGCAGACTGTCCGTGCAGGTTTATACGGGTTTCCTGGATGCCATGTAGATAAGACCTAAGGCCGTGTGCTAGCATATATGCAATGTGTACACTCTTCAAAGATCTTCAAAGGTAGTGTTTCGCGAACAACCGTTATTCAGGAGGTCGCGACGTCTTATCCCCGCAGCTCCAAGGTCCTGACAACCTTGCTGTTTCTCAACCCCAAGAAAGGGCTGTGAGCCATAAAGCACGAGGTCAAGGTTCTTCCGCCTCCTGAACTGTGATGCTGAAGCCGGACATTGCCAGGCCGCCGTCCCGCCAGACCAGCCGAAGGATGCAACATCCATTGAGGGTGAGGATGAAGAGGCAGGTGATGGAACTGCCATGCACTCTCGGACTTGTGTCGTGCTAGTCTCGCAGCTACCGTTAGTATAGGTGCTAAATCGCCATAGAATTCCATCCGCGGTTTTCGGGATGCCCTTTCCAAATCACTCAGGAGTACGTACAAGCACTTTGCTTGTGGATGTGTTTTAAAATTCCCAAGGGTGTGACCGCCTCAAACTGCTTCACTGCAGGTGAGTATAGCCAACAGACACGACTGACATTACAGGGCTGGTTTCTCGAAGCTGGCTGTTTTCTGCGAGGACCGAATGTGCGTAGGTATGCACATGCTTCTATAGAATAAGATATATATATATATATGTATGTATATATATATATATATGTATTACATATTATAGTTAACACTTAAGGCTACATGGACATGGCCGGGGTAATTAGAGTTGCAGTTTAGCCGTGGCGCAGTTTATGTCCACCGTAGTCGCGAGATGTTCAGGGGTCTCGCGTAGTGTTGCAGTAGCCGCCATGCGCAGCATCCTCGTTGCCTCCTTCCCAGAAGCCTTGGAAGCCCTAAGTCGCCTGAATCCCTCAGACGGCAGAGCGCCTGAATTCCGCCGCTTCGGATCTCAGCCATCATAGCTTGAGCTATTTCGGCTTGCATGTCGGGATTATAGGGTCTACATGCGGCGACGGCGACGGGTGTGTTGTTAGCGCTTTGGCTTCCGGTCTCTTGTTTCCTGCGGACATCTTCGTGCATCATGGGGATGTGCTGCGCCAGAGACCGGAAGGACGCTCATGGTGCCAAAGGTCGTGGAGTCGTCGCAAAAGACTTGTCGGGGGTCGGGGGGATTCGTGTGAGGAAACAATCACATACACACCGCGAAAGTTTTGTCAAAACCACAATCGCGCCAAGCATATCATGTTGCTGTGATCGCTAGCTAGCAAGGAACCTGAAGGCGCCAGTGGGCTTCTGAACCCTGCTTTTGGCTCTCTTAAAAGGGACCTTATTGAGAGGGTCCATATCCCCAAGGGCCCCCATAATCCAAGCTCCCAGAAGGAGGACCGAGCGGCGATCGTGGCAATTAGACAGCAGCAGCCCTGCCACAACGAAAACGACCACGACGACCACGATCACGGCGGCGACTACGATTATGAACACGGCGACTACGACGCATACGGCGACGACGACTGCTACTTTACTACTACACCTGGCTACTGTCGTCAGTACATGTTTTGTCTGACGCCATCAATCAGTCCCCGTCACTGCTGCTGGTGCTGCTGCCGCCCCTGCGACGAGGACGACAATGACGACATGCTGACTACTGGCTGTAATAGTCTTGAAGGCATTGCTGTCAGGTGCTACGCACACACACACACACACTTACCTGAACATCCATCTAACGACCAACCGAAACACTCGTGTGAATCATTCATTGTCCCATTCCTGGGCCTTGATGATTTTGCTCCTTGCAGCCGGGGAACATCTGAACATCAGTTTGATACTGTGACGATTGCCTTATGCTGGAGATACGGTAGCGGAACAACGGCTGACATGCTGTAGCCAATGCACCACCACCGCCACCACCACCACCACCACCACCACCACCACCACTACTTTCATCATCGTTCTGCTAGTCCACCTTGGCCGCGGTTATCATTGTAGCAACAGCAGTGGTGGCTGTTGTTGTTGTTGCTGCTGTTGTTGTTGTGGTGGTAGCCGTACATAGTCTAGCCGTGGTAGTAAAAGTGTCGTCGTCGTCGTCGCTGCCGCCGTCGTCGTCGTAGTAGCAGCAGTAGCAGCAGCACGAGTAGCATAAGCAATGATAGTGGTGCTACCAGTGCTGCTAGTGGTGGTGGTAGTAGTGCTTGTCGTGATGGTGGTGCTGGCACTGGCATTCGTAGCAGTAGTCGTGGCAGCAGGAGAAGGAGTAGGACGAGGTGGAGCATCGGCAGTCAAGTGCATAAACTATTAAATCAAAAGCAACTCGGGAGCATAACAGGTAGTTCTGGCCACTGCAGAGCGGCACACCAAATCAACAAGAATAAAATTCCTCCCCATAATCTGATGTGTTGGGCTTGCTCTGGGATTACGTACTCATCAGCAGACAAGTAAAGAAATCAGGTCCTGAATGTTGGTCTCTTTTGGTCTGGCTGCGAAGGAGCGAGAGATCCATCTGCAGAAAGTAGATCAGATCTTCACGCGTTACGACGAGAATCAGACGCTTCTCTCGCAGATCCGATGTTTGAAGATGGTTTGGTCTCATGTTCCAGAGCTTCGAAGCCCTAAACCTATATATAGCCTGCCTAAGGGCCTAAAAAACATGACCGTGGAGGAGGGGGCCATCAAGCTAGGAAGCCCCTGCGCTTTCCTTTCTGCGTGTCTACATTATATAGTGCGGCTGGCGTAGATGTTCGTGTATGTAGTCAGTGTCAGCGGGAATACTTAGTACACTTATGGCTACCGTAGCAGATAGGCAGTAGTAGGTTGTGGCATGTACTCTTCATTTGTGCCCATGTCACTGTAGAAAGGTGTAGGTGGTAGCGTAGTATGCAGGTGTTCGGCAGGCTGCAGGCGTGAGTATGCAATGTTATTTATGTAAACATCACGCAGTGAATATGTGGTTTGGTTGCTGCATGGGCCTAGGTAGCAAGAGCTTGTACGCAGTAGGCTTGTCATAAAGCAGTGAATGTGATTGCTAGCTACAGCAGGCCCAAAACCCAAATTCAATTTCCAAAAGACATCGAAGATTATAGACCCGCAACCGACACGCGGAAGTCAGGAATGGCGAGCTGGAGGTGAAGGAGCTTGCAAACTTCCTGCGTGATGCTTTTCCAGGCCATTGAAAGTTTTTTGTGGGTTTGGGGTTCAGTTCATGGATTAATAAGGACTTTGGCTTTAACTGTGTAAGATTTCCTTAGGGGTTTCGGGGAGAAGGTTTTTTGGGTTCAGGGTCTCCTGACAGGTTGAAATAAAGATTAGGCCGTAGGTCTAGGGGTTTAGCGTTTGGGGTCTTGAAAGCCATCATGTCCTTTGGGCTTCGGTATTATTCGGGACAGGTCTTAAATCACAACCTCAGTTGCCCATGCACGTCCTCCAATGGGAACGGTTTGGCCAAGTTTGGTTGTGAGGCGGTCGGCCATGTTCTGCAGCTTTCTCTGAAAACCGGTTCATGTCCAACACACGAGGGTCGACTGAGGTAGGAGTAGCTTGTTCATTTGCTGAGGACTTGTCTAGGCACATGAGGCTTCCGATGAATCATTTGTGGGATTTGTCTTTCGGATCCGGGGACAAACTGCCCTTCCCCACTCAAATTATCAGGGGTTCCCCTTTTTCATGTTTCAGCCGAAGGAGTTAGATAGACTGCATGATACTGCATCATGCTGTTGTCAAGACTGAAGATGGCGCTACGTAGGCTAATTGTCACTGCCTCTATGTATGCCTAGATCTGGGTGGAAAGTGGAGCGGGCATGCAGAGCTGAGGAGAGTATCCTAAGACCTGGCGCCGCAAATCGTAAGCCCAAAAAGCTACATCCCAATGTGTGGACTCGGTACTTTGCTACTATATCCTAGTATAGACCCGCTGGTAGTCCCAAAAATAGGAACCCATAAAGTACACGGTAGCCTCATACGTCCGACACAGCTCTTTGATCGTCTGAGCATCAGCGCTCAAACCCGGGAGCCGCCCGAGATCCTGAGCCCCGAGCAAGGGGCGTTTGCACTCAGCTTTTTCTAATATCGTAGTGGAGCTAAAGTAGGGACTTGGAGAGGGTGCTACTACTTAGAATTGTCGTTCTTGCTAATGAGAGACAAGAACCAACTAGGGCTGGCAATCGCGGGGTGTTGAGTACCACATGTCGCTAGGGACCGGTACAATCCTCGAGGAGTTCGAGATTATTTCTCGACAGTGACCTGGAAACGATAGCTCTCGAACCCCTAAGCCCCAAACCGACTTTAGACCACATGCCTCGCCTGGATTCAAACCGGCTGAACCGACTGGAGCCTGCCAGAGGAACGCAGCTCACTGATGAAGAGGTTGCCACTTTGACGGCGGAGTTCGATGCCGATCAGCCCCTCGGAAAGCAACGTATAACTAACATACCAATATACACATGTACTCACGGAATTATTGTGTAACGGTGTAGTAGTATACCAATAGACTAATAGTTGAGTGATAAGACAGTAACAGATACTACTGTAGTAACAGACTTATAGCCCTCGAAGCGTTATGAATGACTGCTCCCCAGCTGAGCCAGTGCACATCCTCTGCAAGCCGTTTTCTAATCATTGCGGCAGCTGCAGCAATTGGGTCTCTCCTCAAACCTGTCGCCCTCACTCTTTTCAGGATTCCGGATGTAGCGGTCTGAACAGATACTGACGGTAGTCCTCGTGATTTAATTCTCCGGAAATTCGAACCCGCGATGGTCACCGGAGACAACAAGCCCTAAGATTTGTCCCCGGCTTAAGTTCAAGCTTTCACCAAAAGAGCCCGAAGACTTGGATACGAATATTGCTGTCTCCGAAACCGAAAGCACAAAACCATGGGCACGACAACCTTTCGGGTAATGCTGAAACTGCTGAAAACGCCCTGTAGAGCCCTACGGAGCAGCACCCCCAAGTCCTAATCCCGGAACCAGCAGAGCTATAGCGACTCGTTCAGCAATGTAGCAGGTCAAAGTCCCGAAACCCCAGAAGCCAAGACCTAAACCCCTCTAAGCCCTAAACCCCCCCAAGCCCCCTCGGATTAAGCCCCAAAGCCTCGTGAGCCTCCCCTGATGTGTGCGAGTTGTGAGAATCAATAACCCTAAACCCTAAACCCTAAACCCTAAACCCTAAACCCTAAACCCTAAACCCTAAACCTCAAGGAACGGCACGATCGGCTTGAATGAGCTCCGGGCCTTCCTCCGCTGCTACGATGCGGAGCAGCCTCTTTCCTGCTCTTTGGGGGCTTAAGGGTTTATAGGGTTTAGGGTTTAGGGTTTGGGGGAGGTTTCGAATGCCTGGGAGAGGGGTAGGGTTTAGGGCTTTG